GCAGAGGTGTTGAGAACCGCCTGGACTTGGGATGTGCTCTGAAGGCAGAGCCAACAGGATTTCCTGCCGGATTGGATGTGGGGTGTGAGGGAAAGAGAGGAGGTACGGATGCCATCAGAGTCTTTGGCCTAGGAAGCTGGAAATCCAGCTGGGCATCCCCGTGGTGGACACTCAGTGGTTTTAACTGTCTCCTGGAGCTGACCTGTGGGTGAAGTCAAGGCAGATGGAGGCTCAGGTCAGCCCCCCTCCTGGCTCTGTCCTCGGGATGGGCTGTGCATCCTGGTTATCCCGTTACACTTTATTTATGGCCTCACTGGCTTTGTCATTTCTTTGTCTCCTGCCTGGGGTAAAGGCTATAAATGTGATGGATTGGTACAGGATGCGGGAGGCCCTGCTAAACTGGCCTCTTCTCTCGGGTCCTGCAGTGGAGACGGGGGCTGGCTCTGACTGTCCAAAAGAGGGGTGTTCCCCTGACAGGGTGAGTAGTGGACAGATGATTTCCAAGCAGAGATGGCCTTAAAGACAGATCCTGGAGGCAAGCCTAGCCCTGCTCTGCTCACACCGACATTACACAGTGCTCCACATACCACTGGGCACAGGTTGGGACAGATAGGACAGGACACACTGCTGGTCAGCCAGCCCATATCCGGGCTTCTGCTGGGACCTCACACGCTTCTCAGGCATCCGAGCCAGCCTGTCTCTCCACAGAGGCTGCGGGTGGGTTGTTTCTTGTCAGCAGCAGGTGCCTGGCATCTGCCCAGGATGCCAGCCCTGTGAGCTGGCATGGGAGGAAGTACTTGTTAGACTGGCCATTGCTCACACTGGGCTCAGGCTGGCTCATCTCTCACCGCTGTTGCCCAAGGTGGCTTGGGTTACCCACGAAGACTGATGCTGGCTGCTTGGCCTTAAGGCCCCTGTAAGACACCCTGCACCTCAGAGAACTGGGCAGCTGTCACCTTCTGTCATTCTGAGCAAAGTCCCCCAGCACCCTGTCTGCTCGAAATCTCCCTGGCCTCTTTGCTGTCCTCCATTCCTGGGAAAATGCAGAGGCTTGTGGCCTAAGAGGGTTTGGGACGGGAAGCCTGAGATTCATTCCTCACATTTTGGATATAGGTGAATCCCTGCGGGTGGAGATACCGCATAGGCCTGTATCTGGCTTTCTTCCAGAAAAAGGCAGAGCAGAGGTTAGTACTGATGGGACGGGGGTAGCTGGAGACCTCGGGAGCAGGCAGGGCTCGAATGGAGTGGGCCAGGTGAAACCACAAGTTAGGTTATGATTAGCCAGGCTGCTGAGTCTGCAGTATCCTCACACCTCATTATGCTGGGTGCCAGGACTATGGCTGGAGTCAGGGCTGAGCAAACAGCCTGGCTTGGCCTGCTGCAGCCTTTAGTCTGGTCAGAACACTGGGGGCAGGGCACAGGGCGCTGTGGCAGCACAGATCCTGAAAGAAGCCAGGGTTGGGAGGCACTGGGGGGTTCCCCCGAGTCCATTAAAGATCTCTGTCACACCCTTGCCTTGCCCTTGGTCACCTCCCTCATTGTGGCCTCTGCCTCTAGGAGGCCCAGGCATATTTCTCCCTGCCCCTCCCCACCTCCTGGACACTGAGTCTAGTGGCTGTCAGGGCTGATGGTGGAGGGTTGATGGCATGGGGCAGGGCAGCTGCCAACGCCGTGGCCCAGGGGCGAGAGCTGACGTGTGTCCCTGCCAAGGGCTGAGATTCTCGGCTGCATGCCTTTCCCCTGGACACAGGAGCTGGCATCTGCCACTCCCAGTCATCCACGGCCCAGACCCCAGCCTCGCCCCCATTTGGCCCAGTGACAGCTGTAACATTTTAGTAGGCACAGGCCTCCTCTCGCAGCCTCCAGCCCGGTCCAACCACAACAACACTCTCCAAGACAGGTGAAGGCTTACCTCAGGGAGCTGGGGAAGGCCCCACATAGAAGAGATTAAGAACCCCAGACTCGGCCAGGCGGTGGTGTCGCATGCCTCATGCCTTTAATCCCAGCACTCTGGAAGCAGAGGCAGATGAATCCCTGTGAGTTCAAGGCCAGCCTGGTCTACAAGAGGTAGTTCCAGGACAGCTAGGACTATTACACAGGGAAACCCTGTCTTGAAAAACAAAAACCCCAAAAACAAACAAAACCCTGACTTCAAGAACAGTGAGAGAGGATCTAGCCTGAGGTACCGGGTATCCCTGGAGTGTGGGAGAGAGAAGGCCTGTACAGCCCTGTGGTGGGGCAGCAGCCTCAGACTCCTTTTCTTCTCCGGAACTCTATGGTTGGTGCCCACCTTCCACGCCCAGCCTCTGAGGGAGGGCTCCAGGACTCAGCGGTGAGGAAAAAACATGAACCCACTCCTGGTGTTTCTCTCAATTCTTTTTCAGGACGTATGTCTGTGAACCACATGGTGCCTGGTGCCACAGAGCTCAGAAGAGGGCGTAAAATCCCCCGGAACTATACTACAGTTACAGATAGTTGTGAGCCGCTGTGTGGGTTCTGGGGATCAAACCCAGGTCCTTGGGAAGTCATGGCTCCTAACCACACAGCCATCTCTACAGTCCCTCTGGTATTTCTTTTAAATTCTGCCCTGTGGAAATTTTCATGAGACATTTATTTGCCGTCCCCTGGCAGGGACCACACAGACACTCCCCTGAACTTTCTACATGTGTGAGACAGGCTCCATTAAGTCACATGTCCCCACCACACAGGATGCCATGGGGCTTTGGGTTCTGATGCGGATTAAAAAGCCGGTTGTGGCCTACTGGCCTAGGATGTGGACTGCCCTTTGAAAGGCCCTGGTTGGCTGGAGGGAAGCCAATGAAGGTGAGCAAGGGTGACCAGCAGTGTCAGGATGGCAGATTATCGTCTTTCACATGGGATCACTTATAAGGGATGTCACTCAGACCCCTTAGTCTTGTTGAGGGTGGACAAGAGTCTGAGAAAGCCGAGCTGAGGGTTTCTGTGAGCAGGTTCTTTGGAGAGTCTTATTAGTGTTCTGTGTCCAGAACCCTGGGCCTTCTCTTGAGGAAGGGCCAGGGCGACAGGTGTGTGCTGCCTCCTAAACCCAGGCTTTCCGAAGGGGGCTTCTGGAGGCTTCTTGGGGAACTGTGATGTGTCGGACACAGAGGACAGGGCCTTGCTGGGCAAGCTCAAGTACATGGTGATTATCTTGGCAGGGGGCTGGGTGGTCCCACGGGTACCTAAGGACACAGATCACCAGGGATCGTGACAAAGGAGCATCTTGTGGGAAGCTGCAGAAGGCACAGCCTGGTTCTCCTCACAGCCCACAAAAGTGTCCCTAACTCTACAGCTGGTCTGGAGAAGGCACCCAACCACTCTGCCCCTAGCACTGGGCATGCTCACGCCAGATTGAGACCCCAAGGAAAGTGATGGTAGTCTACTGTTCCCCAGGCAGAAACGCCACAGGCTCTGCTTCTTCTCACCCAGGCCCAGGGAAGGGCTTCCCACTGAGTGAGACAGTGGTGAGCAGCAGCGAGGGGCAATGAGACTGGTTTCTGTTCCATCAGGGGTCCTGTCTGCCCACCACTCCGTAGGCATCTGTAGAGAGGGAGCTGGAGAGGAAGCTTCAGGATGAGGGCCTGTGGGGTGGGGAGCTGGGGCATGTCAGGGAAGGCTCCCAAAGAACACTCCTGACCCTGAGAAGAGTGAGGGCTGTTCTGGGTAGAGGGAGCAGCAGCTGGTGAGGCAGGAAGAGCCCGGAGCCTTGAGGGCTGGAGAGATGTTGTTACAGAGGTCAGTGGGGCCAGAGCCCTTGATCCAGAGGTAACAGAAGCCACAGAGCAACTTTATGCGGGGTTAGTTGTCTTGGACTGAAATATCACCCTGGTCACTGAGGGAAGAATGTGGAGTGCATGAAGTTAGCCAAGGAAATGCTTGGTGGTCTCCAAGAGGCAAGACAGACTCTCTAACCTAACAGGGAAGACAAGTGAGAACTGAGCAGTGGAATTTTGGAGCCACTGAAGAGATGGGGCCCCAAGGCTTGGACGAGGAGTGTTGGTATCAGTGTGGGCATTAAAGATGGCATTAATAGACCTGGGGCGAGGCAAGGGGTCGAGTTCAGCACTAGGTGGTTCTGGCGGGAAGGTCTAGAAACACAGAGCAGGCTGCTGAACACACCGGGCTGGGGCTCAGTACAGAGGTCCCGGCTTCTTCAGAGCCACATGGTCCACTTTTTCTGGGAGGGCGCAGGGATGGGAAGGCACAGCCGAGAGCCCAGAGGAGGCAGGACAACAAAAGAGAAAAGCAAACCCAGTCCAGCAACCCAAGGGTCCGATTATAAGGTCCTGAGGGCCGCTAAAGGCACAGAGATAGGGTGTGGGGCTGTGGGAGGACCGAGGGCAGGCTTGTTGGACACACGCACAGTTCTATGCAATGGAGCGGTCTGGCCGTGGACAGCCGAGATGTTGACCATCACTGAACCGCACAGTTAGTTAAGGCGATGGGTTTGATGCTGTGTGCATCTCACCACTGTTAATACATTCTGAAACAGAAGCCGGCCAGCCTGACCTGATTCCCAGGTAGGGGAGGGAAGCACTTCCTTGGGCGACCTGCTGCACAGAGCTAGGGGTTTGCAGACAGGACAGGGGGCGTACCGAGTCTAGCCACAAGGAGTCCTGCAGGCTGGCAAAGCACATGGGCATGTGGAGAGCGGGCTGGCAGCATGGAGCCACGGTGGACAGAGGGACGAAGGGAGGAGTGGACGCCCTGAGGCCGTCTCGGGCTTGGCACTTGCAGGGTGTGGTTTCCCCTCTCCATGGTGCCCTAGAGCAGGAGGTGCTGCCCATCTGCGCCCCGCTTGTGTTGGTTGAATCCCTGCCTCTGTTCAAGGCATTCTTGAGTCCTGACCGCTCTCTCACCACCTCCACTGTCATTCTCCAGACCTGCTCAGGCCAAGGCCTCCACACAGCTCCCTCCAGCCTCTGCTGCCTCGCCCCTTCCTTGGTGACCCCGTTACACCCCAGCCCAAGAACAGGCACAGACCAGGTCATGTAAGCCATTTATTAGTTTGTTTGAAAAATAATGTATTTCATTTATACACGAAGCTTGGTGAGAAGTGCTCGTTAATTTCAGACAACACCTGACACGTATGCATGTCCCTCCCACCTCCTGTCTACTCTCTTCTCTCCTCCTGCGCACCGCTGGGCCGTTCTAGAAAAAGAGACTGTGCTGAGCCAAGGAGTTGGGGCTAGCTGACTCCCACCCTTGGCCATCCTGTTTGCAGCCAGCCCCGGGCACCTGTCTTAAGGCTCCGAGGCTTTCCACACACTCAAAACCACAGTGTCCTTCCGGCCAGCTGGGATGGCAGCCCTGCCAGCCCCAGGCCACATTCCTGCCTATGCAGCCCGACTCGGGTGCCAGGGAGGGACACATATCTCTCCAAGCCTTGAGAGCAAAGCACAGATCTACAAAAATAAGATTTCCACTCAGAGAAACGTCACCAGGACAGTTAAAACCCAGCTCTCCCCACACGGGACTCAATGGGGACACTGGATAAGTCTCCAGGGGTGGGTGGGGCTGGGGCTGGTTGCCACCAAGGGAACTGAGGTGGCAAAAAGAAACATAATACTTGACTCGCCCTCAGTGCCCCCCTTCGGCACTGCCACGAGCGTCCAGCCCTCCGACAGCTCGGCGAGGTAGGTAGGAGCAGCCAGCCTGCAGTGGGCAGGTGAGACTGAGGTGGCCTGTGAGGTGGGTGCCCCCCAGCCGAGGGTGGCTCTGCTGGAGAGCTAGACTTGGGCAGCTGAGCCCCAGCTTGCTCAGGCTCCACCAGCCAATCGCATCACCTCAGTGGTTTCTCTATATCGAAAGATTTGCATATGCTAAATAGGATTGTCAGCAGCTGAAGAGGTCACGGGGATAATTGGACGAGTAAAATTATTTTTTCCCTGAAAAAAAGCCTTCTCGGAAGACTCCTGGGATGGTCAGACCCCTGCCCTCAGGGATCCTGAGTCCAGACAAGTCCAGACCCTGTGCTGAGCCCCAGTGCCACACTGCCTCCTTCCCCAATAGGATCAATGGCTTGTGCCCTCCCACAGAACCACGTGGAACCATCCAGGGCCTTTCTCTAGGCAGGGCCACAGTGTCTGACGAGGAGCGAGAGCCTTTCCATATGCGGTCAGAGGCAGAGAAACCCCAGGGAAGCCTGGGAAATGGAGACCACTTCCTTTGTCAGATGGGCTGTGCAGCTGCCATGGCTGGGCACAATTCAGTGGCCCACGTGGATCAGCCTTCTCTTCCCTTGGCTTGTGGGCAGGGCCTGCCACAGCCCTGGAGTAAGCTCCGTGCCTGACTGTGAGTGGGGCTGGCCCTCCTCATATCCTTGGGCTCCAACATTAATACTCTTACAGGAGAGGGACAAGGAGCAGAACCCGTCTGAGACCTAGGCTGCTCGTCGGGAAGCTTTGAATTTTCTTAGCACTGACCTCAGTGGAGCCTGAATAGAAAGGAAAATGGGATCCTGGGGACAACGGTGTGTGTGTGTGTGTGTGTGTGTGTGCGCGCGCGTGCAGAGTGAGCGCCACAGGAAGAAGCTCATGCTTCAGGGCCAGGGAGAAAAACTTGTCTCCCTTGGAGCAGCTCACACTTGCCCAAGGGGCTCCTGGACCCCCGTGGCCTGTGTGTGGCCCCAGTGTGTGAAGTGTGTGCACACGTGTGTGTGAGTGAAGGGCTTAGGCCTTCCTGGCTCCTCAGCCCACATGACAGGAACCACATTCCTCCCTTGGGGCATGAAGACCCGAGGAAGCCACACTGGATCCCACTTAGCTTGGAGAGCAGAGTCCGGGCAGCTCCGCAGACACTCTTGTTCAGGGTTAAGGAGAGGCAGTGTGAACTGCAGATGTTCATGGAAAAAGATGTTCTTTGCTCAAGTAAAAAAATATCAAATATAATAAATCTATGAAAGCCTGTTCACAACATGGACAGTGTGTTTTCCATTCCACCTCAGAGGCTGGGAGAGAGATGCTGTTCAGAGCCTGGCCAGACAGGCTCCAAGGGTGTGCCAGGCCTCCGGGGACAGGCCTCTACCAATAGGGGTTCCTTCTGCTGTTCCTGGCTTCAGTGCAGAGACACAGAACTCTGCCTTGTGGTTCCTCCAACTCAAGGCTCATCTGTCACCTCTACAGTCCAAAGCCAGGAAGGCCTCAGCTGACAGTGGTTTTAACTGCATTCAGGTACGTCACGATTCAACAGGGTGTGTCACGGCTATCGGGGCCAGGCTCACACTATCGATTCTCGGTCCCTATCTGGAGATGGGGGGAAGTCGGCGAGATCCTCACTGCGGCTATAGTCCGATGCTCGCACTGGGAGGTTATCACTGGTGGCTCTCGTGACACTGTCGTAGGATGGGGGGAAGGATGTGGAGGAGATGGAGGAGCTGGAAGGCGGACCACTGCGCCGGGAGAAGTTCTCATTCATCATGTAGGCAATGAGGCCCTCTCGCTCAGGGGCATCCTCGTCCGAGAGGCCACTGCCCGTCTGCTGGCGGAAGAGGAAGGAAGCATGCTTCACGGACCGCTGCAGTAGGTGCCTCCGGAAGGCCCGCTGGATGACCGTGGCTGACACCTCTTCATGCTTCCGCCGGAGGGTGGTGGTGATGGGCTCGTAGGAGATCTTGGAAGGATTGGCTGCCATGAATTTCTCCTCCATCTGGATCTTCAGCGCGTCCATTTCTCCGGACTCCCCGAGCACCCTCTTGGTGAAGGCGAACAGGATATCCATACAGTGGATGCGGTCCCCGCTCACCATGGGCAAGTCCATGTTGATGAGGCTTATCTGGTTGGGCTTGGCGATGCGGAGAGGCTCGGACAAGGCGTCTGCAAAGTCGGACAGGGCCAAATACTCAATGAACTGGGTGGCCTCGGGATCGAACTTCTCCCAGATCTCATAGAACATGTCAAAGTCATCCTCGCTCAGGGGCTCCGTGCTCTCTTCCGTGGCCACACTGAAGTTCTCCAGGATGATGGCGATGTACATGTTGACCACGATGAGGAAGGAGATGATGATGTAGGTGGTGAAGAAGAGGATGCCCACCGCCGGGCTCCCACAGTTCCCCCGGGAGCCATTGCTGTTGGGCAGATTGGGGTCACAGTATGGGGGCCCCGTGTTGAGGATGGGGCTGAGGAGGCCGTCCCAGCCGGCTGACGTGGTGATCTGGAAAAGGCACAGCATGCTGTTGTCGAATGTCTTGAAGTTGAACATGTCGTCTATGCCAGCTTCTTTCTTTACATTGGCTAAGTTGGCCATGCCGAAGATGGAGTAGATGAACATGACGAGGAAGAGCAGGAGGCCGATGTTGAAGAGGGCCGGCAGGGACATCATGAGGGCGAAGAGCAGTGTGCGGATCCCCTTGGCTCCTCTGATCAGCCTGAGGATGCGGCCAATTCTGGCCAGACGGATGACCCGGAAGAGCGTCGGGGAGAAAAAGTACTTCTGGATGATGTCAGAGAGGACAGTGCCTGTGGGATACAAGCAAGACTGTGGCCACCATGACATCTCTACCCTCCTTCCAGCCCAGGTTCACTCAGGGCAAGTGCATCTGTATAGAAGGCCAGGTCAATGAGACAGTCTAGGACTTGGCCCCGGCTTGCCTCTATGATCTAGGAGATGAAGATCTATACTAGATGGCTTCTCGGCACTGTTCTACTTGTAAGGATGCACCTGTACAATGGAGGTGTGCCGGGACACTGTTACATGTGTTCTGAGGCCAGAGGGTACGCACTCAGCACTGCAGCGGCCCAGCAGGAACCAGAGCTGAAGGCTTTCTGCTCCTCACTGCTTAAAGTATGGGCCAAGGACCATCAACCTAGGGCTCTCCTGGAGGCTTACTGGAGATGTAAAATCTCAGCTCTGCCCCAGCCATTTCCTCTTAATGCATCCAGACACTGCCCTGCAGCTTCATGGGGCACACTGCCCTGCAGCTTCATGGGGCACACTGCCCTGCAGCCCCCTGAGGCAGACTGCCCTGTGACCCCATGAGGCACACTGCCCTGCGGCCTCCTGGGGCCCCCTGCCCTCCTTACCTCCACCTGGGGCCCTGGGGGCATTTCTGAGCCTGCTTCATGTTTTAAATGCCTGCCCATCACCGCCACAGCAGGGATGTTTGTCTTAACCTTTGTTTAGATGTAGATGACATTTATGGCAGAAAGGCAAAGGCAGGGTGATTCCAAAGGCAGATGTGCACTCATGGGAATGGAGTGGGGGGCCAAGCATTTGACTCTGAGCCCAGCAACAAAGGAAGATATATACGGTCAAAATTAGACTTCATTGAAGTTAAAACACCTGTGCTCCAACAGACAGCACAAAGGCAGGAAAACAAAGGGAGAAAGGGAGGGAATAGTTTTGGTTTGTATATTTGATAAGGGACTAGAAAGTTGAATAGATAAAGCACTCTTGCAATTCAACAATAAAAAAGATAAAATACTCTAATTTTTAAAACGAACCAAAGTTTTTGAACAGCTGTTTTCTATGGAAGACAAACGGAAGGCTAGTGAGCACAGGGAAGACTTTCAGTTTCACCAGCCACCAGGGCATTAGAAACAAAAGCCAATGAGGAGCACTCTCTCCAGGACGGCTGCAGCCACCGTAAAAAGCCATCGTGTGTGCCGGTGAGGAGGTGGATTAATGGGAGTTCCCATCACCAACGCTGAGTATGTGAAACGGTGCAGCCATTTTGGAAAATGGTTTGATAATTCTTGAATATTTTAGATTAGTGGTTGCCAGGCGTGGAAGGACAGTGGACGTGGAGAGGGGTTACCAGTGGTCAGAGTCTCTCTTGGGGGTTGTCTAGTACTACATAGAGGAATGGTTGCTCAGTTTGGTGACAATCATGTTCCACATAACAGTTGTCAAGCCAGTGTAGGCCATAGCGTAACAATGGTTCTCCAGGATTGTACTGCCCAGTGACCTTCTTTGTGTTAGACAAATTCTGTGATGCTCACGCAATGATGAAACTGCCTAATGACACATTTTTCAGAACATATCCCTGGTGTGAAGCAGTGCCTAATGGCATTGAAATCCATCCACAGAATGTTCTCCATCAAGTGAATTTTAAGTTAACCTTCTGTGAATTTTATAGTACGTGAATCACATCTCAATAAAGCTGTCACAAGAATTTGGGTTCTGGGGCTGAACAGACATGGTGAGGGTCTTGTCTGTTATGTTCTTGTCCTGCGTTGTTCCTCCTCGGGACTTAGCACACAAGTCGGACTGTAGGATTTCTATCTCCCAGGAATGAAGGAATGATCTATGTCTCCTACACTATCAGGTAATCTACCTCTCATCCTTAGGGAATTGACTTGCCTCTTCTTCCTTCAGCCTGGTTGTCAGCCTCTGTCTGGAGGGTAGGGGAGTCTCTACAGTGGCCACTCCTTCTAGCCTCAACCCTGAAGTGTTCACATAGCTGTGCCCCAGGGAGAGTAGGGTCAGGATGGCGTATGGGCTGTCTTCAGGTTGGCCACTTTGGCTTGAATGCGCTCTCCCAGAGAAGTTCTATTCAGAGTGATGTATACATCTGTGTGTGTGTGTGTGTGTGTGTGAGAGAGAGAGAGAGGGGGGGGGAAGAAGGGGGAGGTGAGGAATACAGAGAAAGAGGGTGAGAGAGAACAGAGGGCTGGATTAGAAGCATGGCCTGGGCAGGACTTCTCGGTCCAGCCAACTTGCATACGCACCCACGATGGACAGGATGACCACCACGAAGTCGAAGATGTTCCAGCTGTTGGTGAAGTAATAGTGGCGCAGGGCAGCCATCTTGACAATGCACTCGCCCGTGAAGATGGCCACGAAGAGCAGGTTGATCTTAGCTAAGATGTTGACCTTCTCAGGGCTCTGGTCGTCTGTCTCCACCATCATGGTCACCATGTTTAAACAGATGAGGAACATGATGGTCACGTCGAAGGCCTGCTTGGTCACAATGTCGAATATGAAGCCTTGGTACTTGTTCTAGAAGAGGAGAGAGGGGCTCAGTGCAGCAAAGACCCTAGGAGACTCTGCTGCCAGTCAGTCCCCACTGTATCACACATGCAGAGGAAGACACCACGGAGGTAGACCAGCTGGCCCGCCTGCCTACACCCTATCCCCTCTAGGCAGGCACTGAGGCCCAGTCCTGAGACTCCCCCCTCCACCAGGCCATCCTGGTAGACTTCAGGTGGACCTTCAGGTAGACTTTTATCCTGCGTTTCAGCACACCAGCCACTGTGCTGCTCTTTTTTTTTTTTAATTCTTTAACTCTATTTTTATGGGCATTGGTGTGAAGGTATCAGATTCCCTGGAACTGGAGTTATAGACAGTTGTGGGATGCCATGTGGGTGCTAGGAATTGACCCTGGGTCCTCTGGAGGAGCAGTTAGTGCTCTTAACCACTGAGCCATTTCTCCAACCCCCACTGAGCTGCTTTTTAGTATTATATCCTGGAGGTTCAAGGTCAAAGTTAAACTCCAATCCTAGTACTTGTATGCCCTCAAATTAACATGCTTTTCTCTATGCTTTTTTGTTTTTTTTTCCAAGACAGAGTTTCACTGTAGTTTTAGAGCCTGTCCTGGAACTAGCTCTTGTAGACCAGACTGGCCCCAAACTCACAGAGATCTGCGTGCCTCTGCCTCCCGAGTGCTGGGAATAAAGGTGTGCGCAACCACCACAAGGCTAGTACATGATATTAACCACTGAGCAATCTCAGCTACTCTATGTTTATTGTAAATGAGCCCAGGTTATTTGGAAAAAGAGACAGGATTAAAACTACATTCTCTCTCTCCCTTTTTCTCTCTCCTCTCTCTCTCTCTCTCTCTCTCTCTCTCTCTCTCTCTCTCTCTCTCACACACACACACACACACACACACACACACACAC